GTCCGATGGCTCCGTAAGGTCGTGCGCAAGTCGCGCAGCGCTGCCGTCACTCAGGTACGTAGAAAGTCGATGGCCTAAAATTCCGTCTCTGGAAGACTGTCGACACGGGGATCACTCTCCATGGCTTCCACACCGTAAGCACCATCAGATTCTTCTAGTTACATCATGACGACATCGTCTTCAGCGGCTGGAGCTCCCGATATTTGCGTGAGAATGTACTTGGCGTGCGCTCCGCTCCGCAATTTGAAATTCGCTTGCATCGGCGGCTGGAACGAAGTATTTATCTACCTGTCGTGGGTCCCAGAGCCCCTGTGTCAGGGCCACGGGAAATCCCCGTGGGCTGATGCTTCCTGTCATACCAGGCATGGTTTTAGTATGCATGTCGAATGCGTCGTTTACGACGCATTCAAGTATGGGGCTGCCGGTAAAGGGTTAATAGATGACTTGCACAAATGACCAGTGCTCTGCGAAAACCGACCTTAGGTGCTATTTTGGCGAAATTGAGTTTGTGCTGGGTTGTTGACCCATGACCCTTTCTTCAACTTCTAGTGAAGTTTTAGGTGGATTGCATACATATTCAGTTAGATACAATGACAATTTCTTTGCACTTTTCCTGCAATTTTTGGAGGAAAAATAGCAAAAATCCAGGATTTTATGCTACATTTTGGAACCAATGCAGCGAAAATTCAAGCAGGATGATTGCAACCAAACTTTGCAGAATAAATCTGTATGTCCTAAGGCTCAATAGGAAAGGTTTATGATGGCATTGGATCTTCCTGTTGTGGAGATAGACACATTCTATCTCTGTTCTGTGGATGGTGTTGCTCACGAATCTGGTGGAAGAGGTATTTGGCTCTGGTTGAGGATATGCCAGCCGGAGTGATGCGTAGAGGCAGGTGCAAAGTAGTGAAGAAGCTAGGATCAATGCCGAATTAAAGAATATTGATAGTTTTATCTGGTACTGGTAGTTAGAACATCTAGTTATGTCTACATCAGCCGCACACATTGTTTCGTAATCGGTGATATCATGGCAGTCTCTTTTCCAAATCTTGCCAAACGTACTGTATGCAGCTTTGCCACCAGGCTTTGTGAACGCCTGGTGAACAAGCTTCTTCGTAGTGATACTGCGCAAATACATGTAGGTTGGTACTGGCTTGTTGTGTCCATGTAGAGCCGCAGGTTAAGGGAGGCCATGAACTATAGCATAATACTAGCATAGCATAATGCTCTATAAAATGCTTCAGCTCCACAACATCTTCCACAGGCAGTGCATTCCAGAGTTCTGTGTTGGGCTGATTACACTTGCACTGACAGCAGCCAGTAGATTTCAGCACCCAGGGCTTGATCCTGGAGGCACACACAAAGACTTCCTGACATGCATGTACATGACTTCCACACCAGCCACTGACTGAACTTCAGTAGTTCAGAGTAGTATTGTTGAGCCCCATCTATCACATCTCCCAGCATGCTGGACGCGCTGGGTAGCCTCACCATGTCTCCTGAGCACGTCTAGCTTTCCGCCTACACACAAGCAGCGATCTGTCTTGATCAGAATCTGCGCTGTGTGTGCTGTAAGTGCAAGCAAGGTTTCAAGTGTCACGCTCTTGAAGCAGCACCAGTGCGGAACACCTACAGCGCTTGTCAAACTTGTCACGCACCTCCTGGATTGTAGACAGTACTTGAACCGATTTTTCTTGGTCTGCACTCTGTATATTGCCGGCATTGAGGGGCTGGGCTGGTGGCAGAACCGAAGCCTGATCGAAATTCTCCTCCGCATCACCTGATCACCGTCCAGCTCGATCAGCGTTACGTCCTGCGATTCCACATCCGACTCTCCTCGGCACTGCTGTCATCAGAACTGCGATTGGACCAGGCCAAAAAAATGACTATTCATCGTGAAGGAGTTCGGCTAAAACCTCTGGGGAGAAGACCACAGCAATTTGAGCTAGCGATTGTCTTCTGCTTCGTTCCGCCATGACTCTCACCTTGTAATCTTCAAAAATCGACAGATCGTGACGTTTCGTTCTTTTTCTCGAAAAAATTACGAAGCACCTAAGGTCGGTTTTCGCAGAGCGCGGGTCAAATATTGTCTGGGTTCGAGACGGGGCGAGTGGACTCTGACTTCCCCACCTTTTGACTTTGAGTTCGTGACTTTTGCTGTTTGCCTGACGATCACTGCGCTAGTTTTTTTGGCTAGAAAGTAGAGTTGTTTTGATTCGGCTTGCATCGTCATCCCGAAGCGCTGCTGCACTCCTGAATGCACTAGCAGACGAGAGATGGAACTGAGGCTCCCATTCCATACGTTCTTTGTCGAGCCGGCCGGCCGGGAGGCAGAAAAATGAGGGAATATTATTTTTGCAATAAAGAGTGTAATAGATGCAGACATGGCCAGACAACAAGCCATGTCTGCATCTATTATACTCTTTATTGCATTAATAAAATTGCTTTCTCCACGCCGACTCTTTGAATATTATTTTAGTATCATTGGTGCAGGCTGCAACAAGCACGTCGTGGTCCTGAAGTGTGACTACTTGCCCGCAGTGGAAGCGAAGTCAAGCACAACGGAAGTTTGTGGACGTCTGAGAAAGAACTCAATTCCCTTTGATTCAGCTGCACTAGCTCCAGAGCGACCCTCTCCTGAGGACTGACTGCGAAGAGGCCAGGAACCTGCCGAGTCACGAGTGGAAGCCCAAACCACGAAAATGAAGCGTGGAAGGACTGAGTGTGAGAGCCAGATGGCCGTTAGTAGTACATACACTTAAAGATAGTAGTATCTGAGTTGAAGGAGAGAACAAGTGTGCTGGAGAAACGCTGCGAAGTCCTCAGGCCTGATGTGAACTAGCTACTGTTGAAGTCTCACTTGTTCCGATATGAACATTTCATCAGCCCTGACCGTAGGCTTTGAGCAGCTGTATCTATACTTGGACTTAGGCCAGAGACTTAGCATTGTACACCTTTTTGAAGCCATATGTATGCAATGCCTAGCTCTAGTGAGAAAGCAGTTTGGCGCAGGCTCGCAAACTATGATTGAATCAGGGAGTGGTGGAAAGTCACAATATACCTCTCCATGATTAGCTGGTAATGACGACGATGCGGCTCCGACTGGGTGTCATGGGAAAGTAACTTCATACTTGTTTATTTGCAACGAGGCAACGGTACCCCATGTACTGAAGACATGATAGAACTACATTTATTCTCCTCCTGGGAGCAGGTGGAACAAATAATGCCGGAGTGTGTCTGATACACATCACAGTCAGATGAGTGTGTTCATTACCGTGGACACAGAACTACGCTGCAAGGTACCTTCTGCGTTGGACCTACAGTTGAGCCACTACTCTTCTTACAAATTCCATACTGGGCTGAAAGGATTTGGTGGAGCATCATCAACCAGTGCATTCACCTTCATCATACACTGGCTCTGTTGCCTACAGTAGTTCACATTTTGACGGGGCGCCCTGGGACGATACGGAAGGAGCGGCGGGAACCATTGGAGTGCTCATGCTGCTGGTTAGCGGAGACGGATGTGTGTGTCAGGAACAGGAACGCGACCGCACTACTGTACAGATCAGGAAGCGATGGAAGAGTTGAACCTTCCATGCCGTGTACAGGGACACAGGCGTAAAAATGGCTACATTTCGAATTTGAACTGGCGATGGCATTGTGTGGCAACGAACACAACTGCAACTGTTCAAATTTCAGCATTTCGAACATTATGCTTCCCATGATAACTCACCGAATGGCTCCCATGACGGAGTTGGACAATACCAGGCTAGAATTATCATCTGCTGTATATATGGATAGTTCTTGAGTTTTCAGATGAAGTGCTTTATCTTTTACTTGTCGTTCCTTTAGAATGGCACAATGTCCATGGCTGCTTTCTTGTCTTGTTGTTGTATACTTTATTTATAGTGGAAATCAAAACACGGTGCCCGCACTCAGTGAAGCCTGGGTGCACAGGGTGCACTTGCCCTGTCTCACTTGCGGCTCGGATCTTTGTGCAAGTCATCTATTAATCCCTGTGTCTCCATCGGAGTCCATCATTGCACTCCTGATGAGCCGTCTTTTTTCCTCTTTTCGTAAATCTTTGTGCAGCTGTTAAATGTAATGTACCTACAATTGCTAATGGTAAACCTACCAAGGGGGTAATCTCATTCGGAGAAATGGCTGCCTATTCTTGCTCTCACAATCTTATCGCTGTGGGTAATGCCAGTTGCATGGCTGATGGAAATCTCTTCTCGGTTCCTTACTGCGGTTGTAAGTCATGTTTGAAATACATCGGCACGTCGTCCCTACACCCCTGTGTCTTGCTCTGTGTTTGTCTTCATATGTCTCTTGGTAGAGCTGGAACTAAGTGTTCGGTTTCGGGCACGACACCTGATTGTGCACACCTTAAATCCAGAATGAAACTGTTGCTCATTACGGCTTGCATTTGAACGTCGCCATGGCAAAAGAAACGATCGAGTCAGGTTCTCACTTGTCTTCCTGGAATATCTTCAAGCACGGTATGGCTCCGATAAAGCCAACAGTAGCTCAAGTACTAATGGACTGGATATGTCACCGTAGATTTCTTTGCTTGCGCTCTTCGAGCTTTTCATCCTGTGCATGAGCCAGTCTCCGAAACCCAGTATCTTATCAATTACAGGCAAACTTCTCACAGCTCAAGTGCTAATGTGTTGGGGATTGAATTGCGAGGATGATAAGTATTTGAAAACGATTACATCATGTTATCTGCTTCTCTATGTGCGTCTACCTAGATTCGTCATTGACCGGATACAGATACTGTTCTGACGTTGGTGCAGTCCTGCAGCGGACACACGATCACACGCTTTTCAACTTTTCAGTCGGCCAAGAAATATGCAGGCTACAAAATGCCAGGTTACTAAGTCCGGAAGCGTACAGGTCGGGATGCACGCGAACATTGCTCGGTGCTACCCGCATTGCCTGGGTCAACCAGTTTGAGGATGGAGAAAACGATAGGATTGCGTTTGTCACCGGAACACCGGCCCACCCTATTGACACTCGTTTCGTGAACGCGCCAATATACGTCGTGTGCGAAATAGGTAAGTGAAGTACTCCAATCACTGAAAGGTTTAACCCTTTGCCGGTCTAACTCAATGTATGTGAGGGGTGGTCACGCAAATACATGTACACACAACCAGCAATAACCATGTGATGTAGGTATGGGTAAACCATATATTTTCAAAATCTGTATGCCTGAACGCATCCAGAGAATTCAAATATGACTAGGTCCAAGCAAGGATAGGGCCCATGGTAGCCCTTCAAGTTGAGAGAAAATACAATTGCGAATGAAATACACGAATATCACAGCACGAAGGGCATACCAAGTTCGTGATGGAGCTGAAGTCGTACGATAAACAATCAGGTAAGGGCTACGTCTTTACAAGAAATGTAGGCTCTCTACAATACCGCCATTGAACACCAACACCTCGCCATCGGCGATACGTCAGCAGCAGCAATTCCCATTCCACGATATCGCAGCTTCGGTTTGTTCATCTCAGTGCTGCTCGCGTCAGATTCACTCTCGCTCAGATGAGCACTCAGGCGCGAGCTTACGCATGCCGTGATTCTCACGGCCAGGCGAATCAGCTGATCACACCTGACGAGTCCTTGTGACAGTCGCTGTCGCCGTGTCGGCAGCAAGAAAGCTTCCTCTCTGTTTGGAAATTTTTGTTTCTTCATTCGTGGACGATATATTTTTGAACTAGCAGGACTCAACGAGGCTTTTTTTCTCAACACACTACACTGCAAAACCTCCCGGGAGATCCAGGCTGGACTGGTGGTGTTACTGCTCCCAGAACGCTTGTCAAACACGGCCCCAAGAGATGCACTCGCATTCTCTAAATGCACGCATGGCGGATGGTCGTCTTTTCCAATTTCAACAAACTTCAGTCGATCGATACGGCAACAATTTGTATGGTAAGCATGGTTGTTTTGTACATCGTCAGAAAGCCTTGGACCTCAGCTACGCGTAGAGCCCCATTTTAGCTGTCTCCTAGCAATAGGACCCCAAAAAAATGAGGGCCAAACGTACTGATACTATAGTATCGGTTCGCTTATGGTAGACCGGTAAAGGGTTAAAGGGGAAGTTAAGGCAAAAACGAGAGAGCTTGGAAGTTCAGGGCCCTACGCTATGCTTTTTTGCCTTGATGACCTAGACAAAAAAAAGCATAGGGATGTTATAAATTCTTTAAAAAATTCCTTTTTTTAAAGACATAACCTGGGATTCGAACCCACACTATCGCGCTCTGCATGCATCCCCCGATACACTTCGCATACATACTAATTCTTCCAAGTTGCTTCACGTTATGATCTTGCGTTTGAAAGCCCTATTTGAATATTGCGGGCAGCTGTATGTGGCCAGCTGTGTTTGATGGTACGGTACGGTAGGGATAGGTACGGGACAGGTACAATCGAGGGTAATACGACACCGTCTCCCGTACCGTACCATCAAACACAGCTGGCCACATAACGTGAAGCAACTTGGAAGAATGGGTATGAATGCGAAGTGTATGGATTGCATGTAGGGAATGCATGTAGGGCGATAGTGCGGGTTCGAATCCCAGGATATGCCTGAAAAAAATAGGAGAATTGAAAAATTTATAACATCCCTATGATTTTTTTGCCGTCAGATACGGGATAGCGCAAGGCGTGACACAAACAAACCAACAAACACACAAATACCAAATTAAAGCTGTGTGGACCCTGGCTAGCGCCAGACGTTCCTGAAGTAACGTCTTCTACATAGCTAAGGGAATTAAAATTTCACCAATTGTAGTCTTCGGGGTGTTGGAATTGTCGTTAAAGGGGAAGTTAAGGCAAAAATTAAAATTTCACCAGTTGTAGTCTTCGGGGTGCTGAGTCGAATGGTCTTGGTCCGAGAAAGCTGAGACGTTCCCTTCCTACTTGAATCCCAATCGAACTCGCGCACTTCCACCGAAACTGGGTGACTGCGCCCTACTAGATGGGCATTTGTATGCAAAATGTCACTAAAAGCGCCGTTTCGTTCTTATAAAAGCATGGATGACCGCGATTGGCCCACATGTTGTAGTCTTTTGGATGCTAAGTCGACTGGTTTTGGTCCGAAAAGGCTGCGATGCAGCGTTCCTCCTTTATTCCCAATCGAACATGGTTGAACAAGCGGTCACGTGCTCCTGCGTACACCAGTCAGCTGGTCACCGTGCCTGCAGGGTACAACTTACTAGCCTGTTTGACCTTTTTTGGGTGCAGTCCTGTCACTCGAGTTGAACCTTGGTGTGAAAGTTGTCGCCTGCTGGCACGGTGACCAGGTGATTTGGGCACCCAGGAGCACGTGACCACTTGTTCAACCATGTTCGATTCGGAATAAAGGAGGAACGCTGCATTGCAGCCTTTTCGGACCAAAACCAGTCGACTCAGCGTCCAAAAGACTACAACATATGGGCCAATCGCGGTCATACGTGCTTTTATAAGAACGAAACGGCGCTTTTAGTGACATTTTGCATACAAATCCCCATCTAGTAGGGCGCAGTCACCCAGTTTCGGTGGAAGTGCGCAAGTTCGATTGGGATTCAAGTAGGAAGGGAGCGTCTCAGCTTTCTCGGACCAAGACCATTCGACTCAGCACCCCGAAGACTACAACTGGTGAAATTTTAATTTTTGCCTTAACTTCCCCTTTAACTACAATTCCAACCTCATCACAACACCACTGAATTTTCGTTTCACCTGTGGAAATGGGGTCGCCATTTCTAAATGGTATTCTTATGTCGTGTCACCCCTATAATACCCCTATACTACCCCTATAATACTTCAAAAGTCCAAAAGTATTCATGGCAGGAAACACCCCAACTCTGCTTGGTGCTACCAATTGTGTTGCCATTTTGACGCAATTACTGACTGTATTATGTTCCGGTTACGTTGGTGGACAGTTAGTCGTAACATTTTCTCCTTCACCTTACTCATCGTGCCTAAATTCATTCTTGTCTTAAAGGAAATTCCAGACAGGCACCATCGCCTTAGGCTGCGTTTACACGACAACGCACGGCCAGTTTTCGTTTTCAGTCCCGCATTTTTTTGTTTTTGTTTTCGTGCGTTCACACGTTCAAAGGTGATCCGAGGTGGTCTCCGTTTGTATCATTTTTGCGCGTCTACTCGGGAGCAAAGGATCCGCAAAAATTCGTCATGTGCAAGTGTTGTCATGGAAGCACCAATCACACTCAAGCAATAATTGAGAACAGGCCACAAAACAACACTGGTCACATGTCGAAAATTATAAAAACATTTTTTTAATTGTCGGATCCGTGTAAATGGCCGAAAACGAAACACACGTGACGGAAAACGAGTCCAGCATACCGTTTCGACTGTTTACACACCCAAATTTATCCGGCAGAACATTTCCGTTTTCAAATTCTTCCACCTCGGCCAGCGTTTTGGTTTTCTTCCGTTTTGGTGTACAACTTTTTCGTTTTGCTCTTCGTAAAGTGTAAATGAACCATGCATCCGAAAGGCTTTTCTTGCGTTTTCATCCCCAGCGTTGTCGTGTAAATGCAGCCTTAAATTGTAGCAAGTGTGCGACACATGCTGAACTCCAAGCAAGACTATCTTAGTCGAAATAAGACAACGCAGATAGAGAAGACAAAACATGACTGGGAGCATATGGCAAAAATCCTCGGCTCGTCACACAGCACACAATGCTCCGCCGAGATGTATTATAAAGAAGTTAAGGCAAGTTGCACCTACTCTTTAAGCCATGCTTAGCCCGCACTCTCCATACATGACCAGTGACTGAACGCACGATATCCTGGTGGTGCTCAGAATAGCAAATTGCTGGAGACTCTGGATGAGTCACCCGTGGAGGAGTCCAATGCTTTTAAAGATTTGTTTGTTTGTTTGTTTAGCTTTATTTTACTTCACCAGAAGCACAGTCAAAATCTGCCTTCTCACTGGGCATATTGTCACAGTTCTCGCAAAATGATGAAGGTGGTATGAGAAAAGGAGGAAGAGGAAAATACAATCAAGAACAAGGCAAAAAGAAAAGACGGAAACAAATCGATGAGGGAGTACTACAAGTAACTAATTGGAATTTGATGAATTTTTCATGAAAATAATGCAACGCATGCAAAGGTTCCAGGGTTGAGGGAGGGTTGCCTGCATCTTGTTCCTTACATCCCAACCTGAGGACCAATGATGACCGGAACGATTATTATCTTTTGGTTCCGAATCCTCCTGAGCGCTGCTTGGGGCGGGTACTGACTGATTTTCTCCAGCACCTTCTCATTGACACTGTGATCAAATGGGACGTTCACATCCAAGAGTAGTGCCCTATCATTCTGAAGCAATGCCATGTCTGGTCTGTTAGCCTTCATCACTCAATCTGTGTGTTTGGAATCTTACTGCTAGCCAACCCATGTTATTACTTCCATACTTCCCCGATAATAAGTTACCCTCGATAATAAGTCGCACCCATAGTTTCAGAACATAAGATTCTGATATAATTAGTCACTTCGGTTGTAAGTCATGCTCAATTGTAAGTAGCACCCCCCCCCCCCCTTTGCCCTTGAATAATAATGTAAAAGGTGTGACTTATATTCGGTGAAATACGGTTATATAAACGTCGTGACTCTTTTCGGATTCAGCTCTTGCAGTAAGGTGTTTAAATGTGTTATTATTGTGTGTTGTCCTTTTGTTAACAGCTTGTTCCGCTTCAGCTCTTATCTTCAACATATCAGCGAGTGGCATTATAACTTGTAAACCAGGTTATGAGTACCTTCACCTTCATGCACACCATCTATGTGAACCCTGTACACGTATGTATCCTTGTTTGTTGGAAGCAACAAAATTCAATTACTCCATAAAGTATCCATTCAATCCGGGTGATCACCAGAGTGTTTATAATTGCGTGACCTGTACTCCGCCAATGACTTACACGTCTTTTTTTATTTACCCTCCATCAAGCAACTAAAATTATGATGTAACATGATCACGTGTTTGCGGCGTCTGGATTGCAAAAAGACTGAGCACGAGTTCTGTCAGATTTTTTTCGTTTTGCCGCTTCGTTATTAGAGATTTGCTTGGGAAACTCGGTGGGAATTGTTGTTTGTACTACTGCTTGATTTTTTTTAAATTGCATCATGCCAAGCAATATTCACTGTTCTCCTCATTCTGTGTACAGCTGTGCAATGCAATGTAACTGCTATTGCTAATGGTACTTTTGACAGGGCGGTCATAAACTTCAGAGAAACCGTTACCTATTCTTGTGCGGTGGATCAAGGGATTGTGGGCGATGCCACGCCAACTTGCCAGGCTGACAGACAACTATCCTCCATTCCTTACTGTGTGCAATGCCATGTCCCTGCTATTGTCAACGGTACTTTTGACAAGGAGGTCATAAAATATGGAGAAACCGTTACCTATTCTTGTGTGGAGGATCAAGGGATTGTGGGCGATGCCACGCCAACTTGCCAGGCTGACAGACAACTGTCCTCCATTCCTTACTGTGTGCAATGCCATGTCCCTGCTATTGTCAACGGTACTTCTGACAAGGAGGTCATAAAATATGGAGAAACCGTTACCTATTCTTGTGTGGAGGATCAAGGGATTGTGGGCGATGCCACGCCAACTTGCCAGGCTGACAGACAACTGTCCTCCATTCCTTACTGTGTGCAATGTCATGTCCCTGCTATTGCTAATGGTACTTCTGACAAGGCGGTCATAAAATATGGAGAACGTGTTACCTATTCTTGCGGGGATCAAGGGATTGTGGGCGATGCCACGCCAACTTGCCAGGCTGACAGAAAACTATCCTCCATTCCTTACTGTGTGCAATGCCATGTACCTCCTATTGTCAACGGTACTTCTGACAAGGCGGTCATAAAATATGGACAAAGTGTTACCTATTCTTGCGGGGATCAAGCGATCATGGGCGATGCCACGCCAAGGTGCAAGGCTGACAGACAACTAACCTCCATTCCTTACTGTGCCTGTGAGTGCAGATACATACTTTGTGAATTTTAGCTTCCAGCCCCTATAATGATGTCCAACCCCTATATAGAGTCCATTGGTCCAAAATCCACTGTACAGAGTCCAAACTTGGAATCAACTGTGAGCTCAAAGTTTAGATGGACATAATTCCCTGTATAGAGTCCAGCCAATTGGCTTCACCCCTATATAGAGTCCATTGGTCCAAAATCTACTGTACGGAGTCCAAACTTTGAAATCAACTATAAAGATTCAAGAGTCTTTATTTGGACAACACTCCCTGTTTAAAGTCCAGCCAATTAGGCATCCCCTATCGAGTTCGAAATTAGACATAGGATCTGCTGCAAGCAGTGAATATTAACCATAAAACGGCCTCTCCCTTTAATCCTTTACATCATTCACTTCTCAAGATAAAAAAATTGTATTGAGGCGCCACTGCAGCCACTTCATTACATGTAAAACCCTACAAACACCACCCTCAAATCAAGTGGTATCTTCGCAGATGCTGCAAATTACAATATCTCAATCATGTAGTGTTGCCAAATTATTGTGCACGCACACACACATGCACACACCCACACAACGCCAAGAAAATACCTAGAAAAAAACAAGAATCGAAAGAGAATAATGAAGAGCCCAGGATTAATTATTTGTTTCCAAATTATTGCGCGCGCACACACACACACACACACACACACACACACACACACACACACACACACACACACACACACACACACACACACACACACTTACACAACGCCAAGAAAACACCAAGAAGAGAGTAGAGACAATACACACAACTCCAACAGCCATGCAAACGTCCACCCATGTACACGTAAAGTCAAGAGGGATAACAAATAATTATCCGAAACGAATGCAAACAGGGACGGGCACACGCATGTTTACAAACACGTAGTAGTGTAAGAGAGTAACACAGTGCAGTGGTCAGCATAATACTAGCACATGCTGAGAGTGCAATAGCAAGCTTCACCATTGCTCATGGCCATGCAACTGTTCAGCAGCACTCAGTTCCGCAAGCTTCTGAAGATCAGCACACCTGCAACAAATAGATAGCACAATGATACGCTTATTACCGTAATCATGCATGGGAGCACACAACTACCAAGTTCTCAACGAATGTGATGCTCAATGAAAATCCATCAACTCAAAGACCTGTGAACAGGTGACGGTGGGGACAATAATCTATTAGTAATACGAGGAATAAGATCGTTTGTGCACATTCAAGACGCACAGACACACCACCATACATGTAGTGTACACAGTGTTTCACTTCACTGCAACTAAACTGAAATGAGATGATTTGAACAATCTGTACAGTGTTGCCGTCAGTCAGTCTTCCCCAAGATGGAAATGCAATGATTTGTTGTCACGAGGCAGTTTCACTGACACAATAACATGTTCGTGACATCAAAACGGTTACTTCAGGGAATACGAGTATTAGCTTGAGAAGTTTTTTCTTGTCATTGGCATACAAGCAATCCTCCTACTACTACTAGTACACTGGCACTGCGTTTGGTGATCCCATTGTATTTGACATCATACTAGAGGAAGAGTGTCGTGGAGTTTCACATAATAATTATCACAGGGATAAAAATACATTTCTCATGAAATAATTATAATACTTGATGATAGCTAGACGATCGTATACGATTGATGCAAAGTCCTTGCAGTCCTTGAGGACTATTACGAAGTGGTTGATTACTTTTAGGGCATTCATTCAAGCAACATCAAACAAACGCGATACGATCCTTGAAAAATGGAAAAAAAATTCAAGCATAACGACAGAACAGCAGACCAATCGAAATGAGTAAAAGCTTCCTTACCTCAGTCATCGTCCTGCCATGTAGTTAGACAGCCTTTTGACACGGTGGTACAGGCAGCTCTTGTCCAGTCAAACAGGGGTATCCTTGTGGCGTCGAACGAAAGAGAGTGTCGGTGTATCTGACTCGTCAGATTAGAACTGTGCTGAACTTTTCTCTTTCTCCGTTTCTGCTTTCATCCCTCGCTCTGATGAAACCGTTCAAACGTCTTACTGGCAGCAATGACCAGCCAAACAGGGAATCCTTGTGGCGTCGAACGAAAGAGAGTGTCAGTGTCCCGACTCATCAGATTTGAACTGTGCTGAACTTTTCTCGTTCTGCAATTTCTGCTTTCATCCCGCGCACTGATGAAACGTCTTCAGAGAACCACAAGACGCTTTCCAGATTTGATTTTGAACGTCTCCTTATCCTCCTTGGTTACCTCGAGACAGATTACTGTCAGCAACTGCACAGCAGAACTGGCAGCCATGGCTGAAGTGAAGAAAGGAATGCGCTGCCACGAGGCAAGCAAAACTGAAAATGTGTTTGTTCTCTTTCGGGCACAACACACAGGACGGCGTGACTGGATAAACTGGACTCCTGGACTGTGGATAGGGGACTTGTAGAAAAAGTGTACTCTAGGGGATTGCGCGGCAGGAAGAAGCTGATCAAAACTGAGTGGACTCCTGGACTCTGTATAGTGGATTTTGGACCAATGGACTCTATATAGGGTGCTGGACATCATATAGTGCATGGACTCTATACTGAGTCCTACATATACATTAGGATTCAAGTCGGCAGAAAAATCGCTAGCTCCCATGTGGGGAGCAACACACACTTCCCCATTGTGATTTTAACCCATTCAGCGCTACTGGGCCTTGCCTATGGTACTCTGCATATAAAATGCTAAAAACAAGGCAAATAGAAAGTTCTAAAACTCCAGGGTTCTGGCAACTGGGTCCTCAAATATTTTGGAAATGATTGCCAAGACTATCAACCACAGGGTGACAGAATCGATACAGTCCCCGAAAAGAATAGCGCTTCACAATAGGGGACGCAAGTTTGCTCAAATTGCGTGAAATACGCTAAATGTGTGCAAGTGCAGCTGAAAGATCGCTGAAAAGAGAAGAAAAAAAGACGCAAGCGGGATTGGTACCGACGACCTATCGTACAAGAGGCAGGATCATAATCCAACTGACTAAGAGTGCTTTTACACACCTGATAGTGACGGAAATCACTATATATCCCATGACGTCTATAGACGTCATCCCGCGCATGGGGGGCATTTTCAATGACGTCTATAGACGTCATCAGCGTTCAATGGGTTAATTGAAAATATGATTGAATTTTGTGGAAGTGTGTGTTGTTCCCTACACGTTAGCTCGCGGTTTTCCTGCAGACTTGAATTCTCACGTGACCTCTTCTTTGCAATGATGATTTGTTACATATCTAGTGATTCAGTGAATGAAATTTTCGGTCTTTGACCATTTGCTGGTGAGCTGATCTACTCACCTCGCACCTCTTTAGGAGCTGCATCTGCGACATGATCCTTGATGGGTGGTGGCGTTCCTACGGATGCGGAAAACTCGGTTTCCAGCCAAGTCTCACGCAAACCGTGATTTATTTAGTGATTGTTACCAGAGATAGGGCCAATCACGGAATTTTCCCGCGATCTAATATCTGTAGCAGCTAGCTTATGATATGCCATGCTGGTGACCTCTTGACCTTCCAAATTGGTTTTCAAGTGCCCACTGGTAGGTCGAAAGTCAAATTGTACACCTGTACTTGTAGTATTGAATGGGGAGTAGATGAGTGTGAAAGTGCATTCACTCTAATGTCTTTCAGTGACTAGAGTTGGTGATATTATCCAGAGTGCATATGCAGTGATAAAAGCAGGCAATGATTAGAAAGAATTACTGGCCAATCCCTTCAGTGATAGTTGTGAAATTGGAATGGTTTGGTGTTTTCATAAGCAGTGTCCACCACCCTACAGTTTGAGCTGCTGGGTGTGGATGAAGCAGCGCTGAAATGGTTGTTATGAATGGCCGGTTCTGCAACCAAATGGGCCAAACAAATGGATAACTGTGTGATTTGAAACCTGGTGTCATTGCGTTGCTCTCACCAGGAGCTTCCCAACGAGCCCAAGATTGTGAAAATCGAGTGAAGGAAGCCAAAGTTATGACCTCAAGACGTCAGGCGAAATAGCACGTCATAGTACATTTGAGATCAGTGGGAAGAAGATGACGACGTCCACTAATTTAGTATCTGTGCACAAAAATCTGCTGTGTGTGTGACTCTGCGAGTCAGCTATGGCATCATCCTCTGTGGTTCCATGCCTAGCATGTACGTCTGAACCATCCTGGAAATTTTGAATGACGTAGGTTGAGCGATCGCTCCGCGAAACATACCTTTTGAAATTCTCTTCATAGTGTATCTTCCACCATTGAAATTTCGAATTTCTTCCTGAGAGGGGGGGGGGGGCTTGCAACCTCGATATGGCTTGTTCCA